CTGCTCCAGGGACACATCGTTTCCCCTCCACCCCAGCTCCAGCCTCTCTGCTCTGCACACTGCTGTCCTTTGTGCCCAGCGACCTCTTGGACATGTCTTCTCAGCCACTTTGTGACCCTATCACATGCAAATGGTGTGAAGCCAGGTTTCTGCTCCTGCTTCCAGCTGGCCCAGTGTCCCTGCCTCAGTCACTATCCCACTCTGACCCCTTACACCCACCCAATCCCCCCTGCCCTTCCTGCACCAGCCTCCTGCATCCCATGCTTCCTCCTACTCCTACAATCATGACAGAAGTGGCCACCTTTTCTCCCTTGCCAGACCACCCCTCACTCCACTGCCAGATTAATGTTCTGGAAACACTATCTTCCCCAGATCAGAACCACCAAGGTCCCCTTCTGCCCTCAGTCCTGGAATTAGTGGGTCTCTCCTGCCCTGCCACACTTCTTCCTCCTCAACCTCCACAAATTCTTCTCTCTGGGCAAACATGTAGGCTCTGCGTCTCTGTCTATGCCCCCTGCCTGCCTGGAGCACCCCCCTCCCCTCTCCCAGCCTAAGCTGCAGAGTGCACCACTCAGAAGCACAGGCTTTGAATCTGTCTCCACCACATACTAGCTTTGTGACCCTGGGCACCTGACTAACCTGTCTGCCCCCTCAATTTCTCCATCTGTAAAATGGGGCTGCACCACCTCTCAAGGCAGCTGCGGGCCTTAGGTGAGATGATGCTTATTAAAGAGAAGCTTCATGCAGAGCCTGAAGTCCTCTAGAAACAGGAGTCCAGGTTCAGGTGCCTCCTTCATCACGAAGCCCTCCATGATCACTGTGGCTTCTTCCGTCCTGATTTCATGGCATCTCCAGGACGTATCCTCCTGTCTTTACCCCTCAGAGCTCTGCTAGCTGCGGGGTCTTAGGCAGCTCCCTTGTCTCTTGTGTCTCAGATCCTTCATCTCTAAACTGGGCAGGAAAGTAGTACCCAGCTCAGGGGTTGTGGTGATGGTCAATGAATAAAGGTGTGTGAAATGCCTGGCACACGCGTGAATATATGTGAAGTGCTGCAGAAATGTTAAGTAAAGTTAGTTTCACTGTAGTCCTGTGGCATCTCCTCTACCTATCCATCCTGTTGTTGAATGGACTATAGGCGCCCTGAATCAGCAACTGAGACCCCTACTTCCCAGTGGATCTCCTACTGCCCCTGACACCTGCAGGGCATGGCAGATGCTCATCCTCGCCTACTGGGCCTTCCCGACTGGCCACCTGGCAGCAAATGCCAGTTCTACTGGACTCCGAGACCTTCAAGTCTCCTTAAATGCCAAGATGCCAAAGTCTCAGGATGGGAATCGGAGTCCTCAGACACACTTCTCATGGGAACTGTGACCCCTAGAGCACCCCTGCCCTGCTCGCGAACCCCCTTATGTTTCTCTCAGGCCTCTGCCCTCTCAGTCTCCCCCAGGGGGCTCAGGAGAGCCCCTCTCTCCTGCAACTAACAGCCTCTCCTCTCCTGAGCAGCTGCCCCCTGACTTGGTGTGGGACCCCAGGGCAGAGTGCAGCTACAAGGAGCCAACAGGCGATATTACACGCCGACAGGCTGGGGGCCAGTGCTTGGGCGGTGACTACCCGTGCCATCGACCCAGACAGCTCGCTGTTTATCTGTCTTCCTGACACACCTAATTACCCAGGTTGCAGCTGCCAGAGCGTGTGCTCTTCCTAAATCAAGGGCTCCTGTCTCTCCTCGCCCAGGCTCCCAGGCCTCCAGGCCTCTGCCTGCAGAGGGGTTGCCATTGATTTTGCCGTTCCCATTTATGATCTACAAGGCTCTGCATCACTGTTGCACATTTTACCTTAATTAGTTTATTCTTCTGGGTGTCCCTGGTCAGCTCAGAAGCCAGGAGGTGGAACAGGGGAAGAGGCTAACAGCATATGGCACCCTGACCCCTCTGGCCACGAAGCCCAGAGCATGGCTGGACAGCACCACCCCAAAACGCAACTTGCTAAGAACAGTGCCAGTTTGGCAGGATGCTAATAGGTGAGCTGCAAAAAGGGGCTCATAGCCAGCTGTGTTTGGGACAGGCTGGATTAAATAAAGATTAAGTAGGTAATTTATTGCACGACTTGTCAAAGTTTTAATAGATGGATATTCATTGGGAATCTCGAAGAAGGGCATGAAAGGTGTGGTCTTTCCCAAACTCAGATGATCATAGCATCTTTTCTCCAGGCAGCTCACAGAGACCAGGGCTCCATAAAGCACACTCTGGGAAATGTTTATCTTGGGGGAGCAGGAGGAATTGGAGGTGAGGAAGCAAACAGAGAAACAGAGTCCCCCTGGGCCTGTTTGCTCCTCTCGTCTGTCTCACTGAGGCAGGAACTCAGCTGCATGAGAAATTTCTCCCGAATTTTTGCAAATTCTTGCAAGTGGGGGGCCCATTGAGCTCTGCAGATCCCCAGCTGCTGGCAGCTACTTTCTCACACTGGCCCATGCTTTGCCAAAAGTTAACCTCAGTATTGCAGCGGGGGCTGGACTGGCTGGAGGACCCTCTACAGGAGCCCTGGTCTGACAGAGAAGGGCGAGGGTCACTTGCTACAGGTGGCAGCTAGAGACCCCAGTGCCGGCAAGGCCACCTTCAAAGGTCCCCCAAGCACTAGGAAAGGATGATGAGGCCGCCATTGCTTGGAGAACAGCCGTAAGCATGGCAGTCCAGCCCCACGGTCTCTGTTCTGCAGTCCTAGAATCCAAAACACTCTGAAAGCCTCAGGTGCTTTTTTTAAGTTTGTGGGAAAATGAATTGATAGCAAAACCTGTCCTGGGCTGACGCGAGCTATTTATAGGCTTTATTTATCCCACTCAGTGTGAATATTCATATATTTTACTGCAGAAATATTAATGTGTTTAATTACAGGGTGCGGCCCCATCCCTCCTGGGGGTGTTATGTAATAAACGGTGTGTGCACTGTGTTACCTTTCTAAAATGTGAAAGAACAAAATCTAAATTTCTAAATACATCTGGCCCCCGAGGATGGTGAGGAGGGGTGTGGGGCTGCCATGAGCAAAGCCCACCGTGGGCCAGGGCTTCAGTGCATTCTCTCCTAGAATCCCTACAGCCACATGTGAGGGAGGAGGCACAGCTGTTCCCCTGATGCCCAGGCGAGGAAACCAAGGCTGGAAAGGATAAAGAATGAGCAAGGCCCGGAACTAATGGGAGTCGGCAGCTATGCTTCCAGCCAGACTCAGCTCCTCAGCTGCCCCAGTGGGCTTCCCTCGCAGGCCGCAGCAGCTTTGTGCCCTCTCCAGCTGCGGCTCCTTAGCCCAAGCCTCCACCTGCAGGCCTCCTGGATCTGCTTCCTGCTTCATGAAGGGCCTTTCCTTCCCCCAGATGAGCCTCTGCACCCCTGGGAGGGCAGGCCAGGCAGGAGGGCTCTGCTCCACTGCCAGCTCCCTGGTGCCTAGTGAGGCTTTCTGAGACCAACTCCAGACCTCACAGGCCATGCACCAGCCCTCGTGGGTCCCTGTGGAGACCCGTCTTAGGAGAGTCCCACAGGAGACCAGTGGGAGAGCAAAGCCTTTTGGCCTCTCCTGGAGAGAGCCACCTGAGGGATCCCTTAAAACTGCCCTCCCCTAACCCGCTCCCACACTCCTCAGCCATTCGTTTCACACACTGACTCTCACCAGACCCCTGCAGTGTGGAGCTGATGTCCCTAAAAGACCCTGGGAGTGCCCTATCTGTAACATGGGAATGACCACTGCTAATGCCCACCCTCCTTGAGGGGGCACCGTGCTAGGCCTTTCACGTATATCATCTCATGTATGCCTCACAGTAAACTGGATGTACTGATTACTGTCGTCTCATTTGCAGATAAGAAAACAAACTCAGAGATACTGAACAACCTCCCCAAAGTCAACAGCTAGCCCCTAGACATAGAATCTGGGTAGAACAGAGACCGGGCCTGGGGCTTGTTTATGCTAAGGTCTTAACCACTGCAGCATGCTGCTCCCTTCGCCTAAGCCATGGCCTCTGCCCTGGGCCAGCCAGAGAGTCACATGCAGGGGTCTATCCCCAGATCCACTCCTTCCCCTGCTCACCTTCCTGGCTGCAGCTGCTCCTCTTGTGTGTTTCCTATGCCAGTCCTTGAGAGTAGAACAGGATTCCTCCTAAAATATGAATGCTCCGGGGCTCACATGAGCAAGAAATAAACTAGGGGTGATGACAGAGTGGAGAACTCTGCCTAAGTGGTCTTAGAAGGGTTTGAACCTCTGGCCACCAGAAGTTCTTCCCCACCTACCCAAAATAAAGTTTAGCCATGAGCGTGCTTCAGGATTCCACAGACCCCCCGCAATTACATGTGGTATGTTGCATGGTACGTGTCTGTGTGACTCCCTGAGCTGGCAGTCCTCAGCCTCCATTCGGTTCTGAAAGGGGTGGAGACCACTGCCGTCGAGGGCCTCCCAGGGCTGCTCAAACACTTTACCCCACCTGGGGGCTGACCCTACTGCCATCTGGATCCCCTGGGGATGGGCAACATGTCTGTCAGAGCTTCACTTCTTGCCCCTTCCTGGATCTGGACTTAGAACCCCACCTACCAACCAAGATCATTTCTTCTCAGACCCAAATGAGGTCCTATGATCCAGCAGAGAATGTAGGAGGCAGGTGCTGGAGAAAGAGACATTCTGGGTGAAGTTTGGGTGCTGAAATATTGGCAATCCCAGATCTCCTGTATGTTGCAGGACCATGGTGCAAAATGTGAAACCCAGCTGTCCAGGGTCATCTCAGACACACGGTAGCAATAACATTTCTTCTGTGGCTCCTGAGGCATGGACTGGCCATTTTCATAAGCCAGTCTTTTCTCTCAAATGAAAATACCTGAGTGCCCCCAAATAGAGCCTCACCTGTTTAAGTGAGTGTTGTGGGGAGCACTCACTTTGCTGCAGATGATCCGACCACCTGTGGCAGGTGCCCCAAAACATACATGCACACATGCCCACCACCCACCAGCCCTCCCTTCTCTCTCCAGGGGTGGCCACGTATACGGACAAGTTGTTCAAGTTCCGCAACAACCGGTGGGAAGACATCCTCAGTGATGAGGTCAACGTGGCCCGAGGTGTGGCCAGCCTCTTTGCCGGGCGCTCTGTGGCCTGTGTGGACAGGACGGTGAGTTCTGGGGCGCATGAGGGGCCTGGGGAAAAGAGAGGGGCACACAGTGATGTGAGAGCCAAGAGGGGAGCCCACAGGCAGATGTCCCCCAGTGGACTGTGGCTGTCCAGGGCAAAGGCCAAAGCTGCACCATAACGGCAGTTCCCACAGGGCCTTGCACCTAGTAGGTGTTAGTGCAAGGTGAGTTATAATCTCCTTTCACATCCTTTCTCCCTTGAGGCTCTCCCAGCAACCAGTGAGGAAACTGGTCAGGGGCTGTCACCATCATGTCCATTGGGCAGAGGATGGCACCAAGGCCCAGCTTGGGGCAGTGACTTGCCTGAGGACCCAAAAATAGATGGGCAGTATGACGAGGACAGTGAATCAGACTCTTCTAGTTCTAAACCTTGTACTCATTCATTGATTCAACCAACATTTTTGAAGTGCTTACTATGTGCCAGCCCTTGAGCCATAGGGCTCTTCCCTAAAATATTTGTGAAACAAATGAAGGCATGACAAAGAGGTTCATGAGTGGAGGGTGGCCCAAATGTCCAAGTACTCCAGTTAATCAGTAGCTCTGTTACTGCGTTTGTACCTGCTAACCCACCCTACTGAAGGTGCCAACCCAAAGCAGGTAGAGAGGAAAGGCCCAAGGGATAGGGGCAGGAGCAGCTGGAGCCACCTGCCCTGTAGGGTGGCCCCAACGCAGGCTTGCGTCCCAGCAGCCCCAGCCAGAGCTGGAAGCAGAGGCTTGCTGTGGAGGTGATTTATCCCTCCTGTCACCTGCTCCCCTACAGCCCCCTCCTTGGCGTTGGAGACTGTCATCAGTAAATCAGGAACCCAGCTGCTGCCTAGCTTCCATTCCGAGGGCAGGGGCAAGGGGCTCATTTCAGGATTGAGATGGCACGGAGGGGATTGGGGATTCAGTGTGAATCTTCACAGCAGGGGCCTCCAGGCCTTGGGAGAAGGCAGGTGCCAGGTATAAATATTTATTTCTTAACAAGCTGGTGCTGGGAAAAGAAGCCAAGCTGGGCTGTGAAGCCACATTTAGCCCTGACCTGAATCTTTGCCACCTGGACTCCTGCCTGGTGGGAAGGAATGAGGAGGCAGTGGTTCTGTGAGTGGCCCCAAAGAATAAGAAGGGTATACGGAATGCCAGGCCTGGCCGCTGCTGGGAGCCTCTTCCCTGCCACTTGCTTCCTGCCTCGCTTCTGCTGAACCAAGGCTTCCCACCCTTGGCCAAGGTGGGAATCATCTCTGAGCTGGTGGCAGGGCCTGAAGGTTAATCACAAAGAGATGCACTCTTTGTCCTAACAAGGTCATCTGCACACCCACGCGTTTAACCACAGGACAAAGGCACCGTGTGAAATGCAAAAAAAAAAAAAAAAAGCTTTGGCACTCAGCAGCAGCAGCAGCAGCAGCAGCACCGTAGGCAGGCACTTAGCAGCTTGCTCAGCCTCAGGGAACTAGAAAGAACCCCTACAGTCAGTCTGCCACCAGAAGGGCCAGCTTTCTGGGTCCAGCCGCCATGGCCACCCCAGCAATCCCTGGGGTCTGAGAACTGGAGGGGAGAAGTAGGGCAAGGTCACGGCCACTCTGGAAACAGAGCCAGGAATGCTGTGCGGTATAGGAAACACAAAAGCAATCTCAACAATAATGACAGTTAACCTTAATGAACTAGCAACATGTCAAGCCCTGTGCTCAGTGGTTCCTATGCATTGTCCTACTGAATCTTCACAGTAGGCTGATGAGGTACCTGCTATCATTACCCCCGTTTTACAGATATGGAAACTAAGGCTTCTAGCAATTAAGCAACTTGACCTTGGTCACATAGTAAATGGCAGGAACTAGGCACTAGGAACTCAGCTAGGAACTGAGCCCTGCCTGCCTGAGAATGAGTCAGACACCTTTCTATCCCACAGCTACCCTGCCTCTTGGTGACCCAGTGTCAGACACAAATTTCTAACCACAGATTCTATTACAGTATTTACCCTACTCCATCCTCAGACCCACAGCCTCCACCTGGATGGAGCCTTTTAGTTTACCTGTTCCCAAAGTGTGGCCTCCAGACCAGCAGAACCAGCGTTGTCAGAAATGCAGATTCTGGGGCACCCGGGTGGCTCAGGAGGTTAAGTGTCCGCCTTCGTCTCAGATCATGATCCTGGGGTAGGGCCCACATTGGGCTCCCTGCTTAATGGGGAACCTACTTCTCCCTCTGCTTCTGTTCTCTCTCTTACTCACTGGGTCTCAAATAAACATCTTTTTAAAAAAGGAATGCAGATTCTCAGGCCCAACCCCCACTTCACCCTCCAGACATACTGAGTCTGAACCCGGGGTGGGGGCGGGGGGAAGGGCAGAAATCTGGGTTTGAACTGGCCCTGCAGGTGACGCTGGTGCAGGTCGAAGTTTGAGAGCCATCTTGCAGGTAAATATTTCAAACTTACCATGTGCCCTTCCTGCCCTCTCTCCAGCAGCCCTCATTCTCTCTTGGCCCCAAACCTGGCACACTTGCCTGCACTTTGTCTGCAGCTGCCTCATCACTCACCGACCTTTCTGGATCCAGCTCAAAGCCGATCTCTTACAAGAAGCGTTCCCTGATCGATAATGATTATGCCTCATGTTTATATAGCATTTTTATCTTTTGGAGACCTTTCACATGTGTTGTCTGATTTCATCTTCTCAACAACCCTGCCAGGAAGCAGGGGGAATATGATTCCCCTTTAACACAGGAGGAGATGCAGCCAAAGGGAATGAAGAACCTGCACAAAAATAAAGAGCCACACAGAGGCAGAGCCTGAACTGGGCCCAGGCTAATATCCCTACACCAGTGGCTCTCCAGGTGGGGTTCCTGGGTCAACATCAGCCTCTCTTGAAAAAGAAAACCATATCTGGGGGCATCACAATGCCAGATTTCAGGTTGTACTACAAAGCTGTGGTCATCAAGACAGTGTGGTACTGGCACAAAAACAGACACATAGATCAATGGAACAGAATAGAGAACCCAGGAGTAGACCCTGAACTTTATGGTCAACTAATATTCGATAAAGGAGGAAAGACTATCCACTGGAAGAAAGACAGTCTCTTCAATAAATGAGAACTTGTTAGAAATGCAAACTCTCAGGCCCCACGCCAGAGCTTCCAAATCAGAAGCCCTGGGGATGAGACCCAGCATCTACAGTTTCAGAGGCTTACCAGGGGTGATTCTGATGGAGGCTGAAGGGGGATTCCCCTGCCCTGGGGAGCCTCTTCCTGGGCTCATCTCTATAACCGTCTCACTATCCCAGAGCGACTGTAGTCAAGGCCACCTGCAAATGTCTGCAACTGTAACACATCTATGTTTGTCAAGTTTTATTATCCCCTTACATTGAAGAAAGGAACTAGGTATAATGGAATTTTATAAACATCCTAATTTCTAGCAGAGTGCCTTTCAGTTCATTTGGGCTTAATTGCCCATTTGTTGATGGGATTGCTAACAGCTGGTAGGGTCAGGCATGGGTACAGTGATGGCGCACTTTCTCCTTTGGCCCCATTCATTCAGTCTTTATCTGATCATTCCACACACATATGCTGAGCTCCTGAGACAAGCAGGCACCCCTCAGAGCTCTCTCCGGCTCCACCCCCGTCACGAAGCCGTGTTGTGAAACAGAGCATCTCAAACTTCATTTTGCACAGAGATCATGTGAGGGGGTCTTGTGAAAATGCAGCTTTGATGCAGCAAGTCTGGCGGAGGGGACGGGGGTTGGGAAGTCCCTGAGAGTGTCTATTTCTAAACTGCGCCCAGAGGACACTAATGCTGCAGGGCCAGGGTCCACTGGGTAACAAGATTCAGAAAACGTAGGCTCCCAGGATGGATGGAGCCTCAGAAAACCAAAACACACGGGGCTTAGACATCTTTAGGAGGGAATACCTTGTCTCCTTCTTCTCCAGCCTCAGCCCCTGACACGCCCTGCCTTGCATTTTATATCCCGGCAACACTGAACAAACTGCTTGTGGTTCCTCTGCATACATCATTCTCTGTATGACCTCTGCCTGAAAAGTTCTTGCTTCTACACTTCACCTAGCTGAGACTCCTTTCTCTTCTCGGGAAAGAAAACCTTTCCCGAACCACCCCTAGTTCAGTGCTCTTCCTCTGGGAGCCCCTCTTCTGTATACCAGGAAATGCTGTACATGTTCTCTCCCTTTTTAAAAACATTTTAATTCCAGGGATGCCCGGTGGCTCAGTTGTTGAGCATCTGCCTTTGGCTCAGGTCATGATCCCAGGGTCCTAGGATCAAGTCCCGCATCAGGTTCCCTGCAAGGAGCCTGCTTCTCCCTCTGCCTATGTCTCTGCCCCTCTCTCTGTGTCTCTCCTGAATACATCTTTTAAAACATTTTAATTCCAGTTTAATTAACATTTTTAAATATTTTATTTCCAACATATACAAGTTAACTTATATACTGTCTTAATCATATATATAATTGTACTATTGTTAACATGTCTGCATCCCCTCCAGGAGACCAAGAGCTTCTTCGTTGGCCTCACCCACCAGTCAGTCAGACCCCAGTAGATCCTAGCTTCCCCCCAAAGAAAATGTCCCCACGGATGGGATAAAGCCAGTGATTGGTTAGGTGGGATGGGGGTTTCTGCTTATGGAGCCACCGGGGAGAAATAGAGGCGAGCCAAGAGAACCGAGGGCCAAGAGAGGGTGATGGAGCACCCTTTGGTTGCGTGGAACTCAGCTGCTTTTCTCAGGTTGTTTTGTGTTTCTGACTTGCCTTTAAACAAGACTAGAAGCCACTGAAGAATGAAGACATTGTCTTAGGGACATTCATAGCAGAGCACGTTGCATGTAGTTGGAGCTCAAGAAATATCTACTCTCTGATTAATTGGAGGGGAATGATGAGAAGGATGAGAGGAAAGCTGGAAAACTGTTCAAATGTAGAAATCAGGTGGGTCTCTTGGGGGAAAGGAAGCATCCATTGAAGAAATGACACAGGTCTAATAACAGACAGAAAAGAACCATTCATCAGCAGGATTTCGGACTAGAGCAGGCAATGACTATAGCAACAAGAAGCTGGTGCCCAAGGCTTCTCCTGGATGCAAAGGAAAAAGATATTTGAGTGTTATAAAGGCAGAAACAATATGCTATTTCTTTCTGGTAATGTGGGAAAACAGAGGGAGGGAATGGAAGGAGGACCCCTTCCTATCCAAGCCTCCTGTGCCACCAAAATAGTGAAATGAGGGAACCCAGGGTGGGAGTTGGGGAGGGAGAGGACTCCAGAATTTGCTTGTCATCTTGGCTGGAGTGAGCTTGAATGGGAAAGAGAGAGAGAGAGAGAGAGAGAGAGACTGAGAATAATGGGAATTGGTAGATCAATCAATCAGCAAATATTTATTGAGCAGCTACCCTGGCTGGCAGCTGGAGAGAGCTCAGCTGGAGAGAGGCACATTAGAAAATTGTCTATAAAAAGGTGGTTGTGGGGGAGAGGGAGGATGTGTTCTTTGGAACAGGATAGAAGAAGCAGGGCTGCTTTGTTGTAGGACGCCAGGGTGGGGGGGGGAGCGTGTTGTGCATTCTGTAGCCTCTGGGAATAGTACTTCGGGAGTTGGGCAGCACACAGCCTGCAAGACCATGCACACCTGACCCAGGGAAAAGCACCTGACTCATGAGAGACCTATGGTCCTACACGGGGAGGGGGAGAGCCACTTTCTGGGGAAAGACATCACGATGAGCACAGATGGGCCTGCTCACCCAACCCTCCTTCCCTTCCTCCTCAGGGCTCCGGACGCTACTCTATCTATATCGCCAATTATGCCTACGGTAACGTGGGCCCTGATGCCCTCATTGAAATGGACCCCGAGGCCAGTGACCTCTCCCAGGGCATTCTGGCGCTCAGAGATGTGGCTGCTGAGGCTGGGGTCAGCAAATACACAGGTAGGCAGAGTGACACGGGGTGGCAGGCTGGGGTGCTGTGAGTTGGAAGGGTGGGAGTGGGGGGCAATGCCTGGGGCTGCAAGGCTGAGTCTAGTTCATCAGAGACCATAGGACAGGGTGGGCTTGTGTCCCTGGGAAGGGGAGGATGAAGGCTTTATTCCATCCTACCACCCACAGGAGGCTCCTCCAACACTGCCTCTCCAAGGGTTGGCGAATATCTAGCAGGTGAGGGCTTTGGGGGACCCGTGGAGGACGTGGGACATAGAATGAGAACACCGTAACATCATCCTCTCCCTGGAACCTCTTGCCGCAGTCCCTGCTATAACCCAAATGATGGGTGAACAGGTTCTATAGGAGAAAACTGACAAATCATAAAGGCCAAGATTTAAAGCATTCTTTATTGCCAAACAGCAGATGAAATTATTTACTTATACATAAGCGGCCAGAAATGGAGTGCTAAATCCCTAAGCTTCAGCTGGGTCCCGTCTCGGATAACTGAGCTCAAAGAATTGTGTTCTTGTTCCAAAACCTCTCCATCCCTTTTTTTTGAAGCCATGCTCCCCCCACATCTCCCTGGATGGGGGACCTATTGTCAGAGTCTCTGACAGGGAGATCTTTCTAGGGAAGGCTGTTTTTCTAATTCTAGCACGGCTGCTGACTAAACTCTGATAATCTGCCAATAGACTGCTGATGGCAGAGCAATCCAGTTCCTGTTTTGGGTGCCAAAAATCAGGAAGCCAGAGCTGTACACAACAATGTCTCACGTGAACTTCGGCCTCCCTCACCCTGATCCTGTAATTTGGGCATAGAAATCCTCTTACTGGTTGGCCTTCCCAGTATATCCATTCCAACTTGCACTACATACAGACTTCCAGAGTGGCAGCCCGCCCAAATCCAAATCCTGGGGCTGGAAGGATACCTGGTGGGGGGTCATTTGGGCCATTACCCTGCCTCCGTACACCTGGGTGGTAGCACACTCTCAAAGCCTTACCTGGAAAGGGTTGTCACAGCCTCTCCTGAGTTTATGATGCCTTTCTCTAGCCAACTTTCCACCTCAGTGAAATGGGGAGATTGATGTTGACCTGTCTGACAAAGTTTGTGGGAACAAATGGCTAGACAGTAAAATAGTTTGCACAGCTCCAGCCCATCAAAATGCTGGAGAGCGCCACACGTGAACATGCAGCCTCTCTCGCTGAGTGTCAGTAATAAACCATGCTTTCCTGGGAAAAGGAATAAACATCCAGGAGCTTCAGCCTAGATTTGTACAATTTTTCTGAATAGTTCCCAGTTCTGTGCATTGGGCTGGCTTGGCAATTAAGTACCTTGATCTACAGGAGAAGGAGAGTGGGCCGGGGAGATGAAGCACTTGAAAATGATGAGCTGGGGGGAGGCAAGGTCTAGGAGAGAGGCTTATCCACTGAATAAAAGAATGCTAGAGGTTGCGACTGGGTTTGAGCATGAAGGGGACATTGTTCACACTGGCTGGGCTGGCGGAAGGGCTGGCAGGAACTGAGGAAGGGGCAGGAGGGGGCCAAGAGGAGACAGTTGAGGAGGACGAATGGGGACGGGAGCAGTAGCCAACTGTGCCAGGCTGTGCTGGAAGCACCGGGCCACTCAAGGAAGGGAAAGCAGCTTCTGTGGAGCATGCAGGCAGGCCGGGGCAGCTGGCGTGCCCAGAGGACACCTTAGAGCAGCTTTGCAGACTTCCAAAAGCCATTTGGCTGACAAGAACCCATTTGGCCCACCAAGTTACTATTGTGTCTGCCTGCCTTCCCCCAGCCCACCCTTTCCTTGTCTGCCAAACCCCTCAGCTCTACCCTCAGCCCCCATTGTCATTTCGTTAATGACACGTGGACATCTGGCTGGGAAACTAACCCAGAGCACCACCCCACCCCTGAGCCCCAGGGACGGACCCCAAATGTAAGGGCCACCCCTGGAGTCCTGCCTGATTGCTGAGTCTCTGGCCCTTGGCCAGTGCTCAGCTCCAGGCTGGTGCCCTGGGGCTTGGGCAGAGGGAAGGAAGCAGGCAGTGATGAGCGGGGCCCTGAGCAGGCCAGGAGGGAAGCAAGCCAGGGCCAGATATGCAGTCAGGGAGCCGCGAGTCCCCAGAGCCAACAACACCCATCTGCTGGACAGACCTTGAAGAACCTCTTGTTTTACAAAAGAACAAACTGAGGTCCAGAGAGGAGAAGGGACTTGCCCAAGGTCACCCAGAAGATTTGTAGAGAAACTAGCACTCAGAGCCCTGACCCCCCAAGCTTAAATTGCCACAACCCTCTGACCTTTCTGATGACCTCCAGCTTGAGAATCCTGCTCCAGCCTGCAAAACAGGACACGCTGGTGAAGGAGGAAGGCCCTGCACCTGCTGGGACACCGCCCCAGGGATTGGCACTTGGGGGCTTGATTTTGACCCCCTCCCCCCAGTGTCTGTGGCTCAAGCAGCTGGCCAGCCCGGGCTGTGCGGGGGCAGCAGGGGCAGCAGCGGACCGGCCGCTGTCCCGCGGGGGAGGGGAGGCCTCTCCAGATGGGAGCTCGTCCGAGGGCGGCCGCCGCTCCGCTAGGTCACAGTGCCATCTAGCGTCCAGCCGGCCCACTCTCGGGGGACTCGAGGGCTGCTGGCCGACAGAGGGGCGGCCGAGTTGAGCGGAGGGAAGCCCACTGCCCCGCGCTTCCTGGTCCAAGGACATTCCGAAGCCCCCACTTTCCCAGATGCCTGAAGCGCCCCGGAGCCGGCGCAGGGAATCCTGAGAATTAATCGTCCGTGTGGCAGAGGGGACCTGGCTTGGAGCCCAGGGAGGGCGACGGCAAGGACCAGAGGTCTGCGCTGAGCTGTGTAGCCCTGAGTGACCTTGGGCGCGTCCCCCAGCCTCTCTGAGCACTTCGAGCCGGCCACCGAACTACTGTCTGCAGAGCTGCTGAGAGGACACATCTCGGGCCACAGTGCTGGGTACGGATCCTGCCTCCCCGCGGGTCCTGTCCAGGCAGCGAGCGGCAGTTTATTAACCTCTGTAGGCTGCAGTTTTCTCACCTGCAGTGGGGCATGAGAATGAAAGGAGCCAAAGGACAGACCCTCGGAATGCAGCAGATAGCGACACCTCCTGGTCTGAGGTGCCCAGGGGGACGCCAGGGCTGTCTGCTGGGCATGTGGGTGCTGGGTGCAAGGAGCGCCATGCTAGACACGGGAGGCAGCGCATAGCAAGCCTGCCCGGCCCCTGCCCTGGACGCATTCTCCGTGTGTCTCCCAGCCTGCCCTCCAGGCCGGGTACAGTCATGGGCATCTTCATGCCCTCTCCCCTGGAATCCGTTGGTCTTCTCTCTTCACCCTGCCTCCCCACCCCTGCCAGCCTCTACCCCCTTCCCAGGAGGTCTGCATTTCAGCCTCACCCTTTGAGGGAGCATCTGTCTGGGCTGCAAGGCGGTGATTAAAGAATCCTTACAAGAAATTTGGAAAGAAAATGAAGGTGGATTTATGATATGGGGTGGGGATTTTTGCTGTTGGCTGGGAGCAGTGTAGAACAAAGCGGAGGGCAGATCTGATTTATAGGAAGTCATTATTGGAGAAGAAGGAGATGCCTAAAGCCCAGCTGAGGCCTTCTGGCGGCTCCCCATCAGCCGACTCCAGAGAGGTGACCATGGGTAGCAGAGTGGGGGCCACGGGGCCTCCCAGGTTGGCAGACGGGCACTCTCCTGCAGCAGGAGCACAGTGGGATCTGACAAGCAGAGCTGGAGTGACAGGCCCAGGACCCTCAGGGAGTGCAGCCACAGACCTGCCAGGGATACCCAATGCCCCAGGATACGTGAGGTGTCAATGCATTGGATGGTTGACGAAAAGGGACATCTTTTTGCTTTTGTTTTTCAAAACAAACATGAATACTCATATAATAGAAATGTGATCTTGGTGCACAGTTTCTTGGCTAAAATAAGAGATTTTAAAGGCAGTGGCTGGCCACTCTGGGCCTAATCAGGGGGCTAGCTTTCTCTCCTGCCAAGGGGGAGCTTGTGTAGAAATGTATGAGAACACGCTGTGGGGATAGCACAGGCTCTAGGGTCACTCAGATGTGGGTTTGAACTGCCATTTGCTGCCTGCTGGCTGCAGTTGTACCTCTGTGCCCCTCGATTTCCTCACCTGAAAAACTGCAGTGGGATGAGACACAGATGACACCCTGGACACGGGACTGGAGAGCAGAGCTGGTCCTGCCACCCCTTTCCCCACCCTCCAGAAACAACTTCTTTTTCAACTCGGCCGTTCTCTCGCCCACTTCCGTCTCAGTGTCCTGGGGAGTGGTAGGGGGGGCGGGGGGCAGCTGCAAGGATTGAGGCAGGAGCCAAAAGCCTGTGTCTAATACCCTCTGCCCCCCACCCGGTACCTGGACAGCTCACAGAGGGCTCGTGGGTAGCAGCACTGACACTATATCATTCTATGTTTGAATTTTCAGGAAATTCAGGATGAAAGACCCTGTTACCATCCAGCCCTGACCCTCACTCCCTCTTCTCCAACACACACACACACACACACACACACACACACACACACACACTGCCCATTCCTCCACCCCTAATGTTTTCCAGCACCTTTGCTACTCTTCTACAATTTCTTGGATGCTCTTGGCAGTCTGCAGGCCTTGGCAGCCACGAGAATTGTATTTCTATTGAGGTCTCAGTAGATTAATCCCACAGGTCCAGATTCTTGGGCTAACGAGCCTCACAAAGCCTCCACTGGTGTGAACTCCAGATTGGGCCCCAGGAATCTACTCCCAGCCATGCTTGTCCCAAGTTTCAGCCTGGAGGATGCCCTGGAAGAGTGGGAAGGAGCCCTGGAGATCTCATTCCCCTCCCCAGTTTATGGGGAGGGAGACCAGAGCCTGAAGAGCACACAGCTCAAGTTCCTGGAGCTGGAGCAGGTGAAGAGGCCAAGTAAGGACCTAGAGGCTTTTCTGTAGCATGGCAAATGCCCCCTGCCTCCTTGTGCCTGGGTCCATAGCAGCATGCCCCACTTATTCCACCCAGCCTCTCTTTCCCATTGTCACTCCGCCACCCCAGTACCACCTAGCTACAATCTGATAAATGGAATGCCAATACCTAAACTGGAGTCTGTATCACCAGAGTGCAGGATTTCAGAGGTTGAAGGGTGCAGTTCTTGAGGTAAAAGCGGTGGCTCCACGGGGCTCAGGACCAATGAGCAGATAATCACAGGGAGTACCAGAATGCTGCTGGAGGAAGAAGGGCGGTGGGAGGCCTTTTCCCCATGACTCCACCTCTCCCACCCAGCTTAATGGGCAGAGTAAGAAGCCTTCAGGAGGGGTTGGGCAGGGAGCAGCGTTTGCACCCAACAGCAGCATAAAGATGCCTTAGTATCTAGAAAGTGCTGGGGAAATCAGGGGATTTTATTCACCTAGCAGGTGGGAAATGGTCCCAGCTAATGACTATGTGGCACCTGACATTTTCCAAGGTACCTTCTGAAGACCTGCACACTTAATATTTATGACAGCCCTGAGAAAAAGCTGTTGTTATTATCAGTCTCGAGTTATAGGTGAGAAAACAGATGCCTAGAGAGGTTCAGTGATGTGCCCAAGGTCACATACAAACTTTCTGATCCCTACTCTTCTTTCCCACCAGCAGAGCTGTCTCTCTAGCCCCAGCTGGGGAGCTGCATGTCCCCAAGAGAACGTGCCCACCTCAATACAAAAGAAGTAATTGGTGTAAAGTAGAACTTCACTCCTTATTTGAACATGGTTCTCCAAGGCTAAAATAAAGATGTTCCTAACTGCCCCTTGGGCGGCCTCATAAGGCATGTGCTAAACCTCAGGAGGGAGAAAAGTTGGCCGAGGAGAGAAGTCTGAGTAGAAGGCACTAAATCAGGAACCTCTGTCATGGACCATGCAGAGAATGGAAGTATCAGACTACACTTAGGATGGGTGGATGGATTTTATAGATTTGAAGAAGACTTAGATGATCCACCTGGGAGTAGAGTTTCCTCTGCAGCACGGCTAGGGCCTCAGACACCTGGCCACCCCTGCTTCATGCCCTAGTTAGGCTCTCCATCCTAAGGCTGCCGGGGCTGGTGCCCAAGAGGCTGGCTCCCTGACTGTCGACTCACCTGCTCCCCAACTGTGCAGCGAACTTGCCAAGAAGGAGTTGTGGGTAACGTCTCTGTTATGGTCCAGTTGCCATGGCAATAAATTGTCACTAATTAGTAGTGTGGTTACCATGGCAATTTTCTAATAATTACAGGTTACAAATGGTACAAGGCTTCAACCCAACCCAATTAGTTAATTAGAAAGATTTAGAAATTTGTCCAAGAGGGAAATAACCTGCTTTGTAGAAAATGAAGAGAATGTGTCACAGCTTGAGAGCCAGAGGCAGAGCGGAAATTGGAGGACACTAGAGTGGGAAGGAAGGATGGAATTGTTTGGTGGCAAGTCCCAGAGCCGCACCTGGAATTTCCAGGGGCCTAGGCAAGGCCCAGGTTTTCTCACTGAAGCCTGTTCCTGGGCTGGAATCTGGCAGGATGGGGGCAGGGACAGCTGCCAGCAGCCACTCTGCTGCTCCTCTTTGAATGGGTAGACGTGGTGCCCAGGTTACAGCCCAGCAGCCCTCCATGCTGGCCTTAGGAGAGGCATTAGAAAGCCTCCCCGCCCCACACTCTGGCTCTCCTAATGAAAAACGCATGCCACGTCTTAGATGATGCTCCCCAGGAGCACTGTGGATTTAGTGACTCCATTTTCATGAGGCGTGGGCTCTCCTTGAGAGCTAATTAGATTACCTGGGAGGAATATGGGAGGCACAGGACTCAGAATGTGTTAATTTGGAGCTCAACCATGAGAGCAAAGAGAGTAACAATGCCATTGGGCCCATCCCCTCCTCCTGGCCCCCAATACCTGACCTGGTAGGCAGGCTGTATTGCACAGGTGTGAGAATGGCCTCATGGTTTTCTCCAGGGACCTCTGTAGGAGGACAGGAGGAGTCTGGGGACCAAGAAACCTCTATCTCACATTAGCACATTTTATGGAAACCTCTTCCCAGAGCCAGGCAGGCAGGCAGGCAGGCAGGATGCACGGGGAGTGGCCCAACATCACTCAGGTCTGCCTGAATGCTCGTTTATTTAACAAATAACCAAACAGTAAGTTCTTCTGAGTTCTCTGAAGACTATTCTTATTTCCTGACTAGCCCGCTAGAGCTGCACATTTCAAACTTTCCTGTGCACATAACCATCCAGGGGTCCTGCTAGAATGCAGGTCCCGGCGGGAAAGGACCAGAAATTCTGCCTTTCTGCGGAGGCGGCACCCTTCCAGCGGGTCCAGGGACCTGACTCTGAAGAGCGAGGATTCACAAAGCCCTTTCACGTGTCTCACCTCAGGTGATCTTCATAAAAATCCTAAAATAGAAAAGGCAAGTCATGTTACCCACATTACACAGATGAAGAAACTGAGGCTCAAAGGGTGACATAAATTGCCCAAGGTCACACAGCTTGTGCAAAGCCTCGCTGGAACGAGAATCCATGTCCTGGTCCTGGTCAGGCTGCCTTCTGCCCAGTATTTCCAGTGTTTGGGGATGTGGCTTCCAGGGCTTGATTTGAAATCCAGTAGTTGGGGCTATTTGTTCAAGATGTCTTAAGATTGGACTTCTTGACACAGGTAGCTCAAATTTGATCTTGGAGACGTCAGACCCTAATGTATAGCTGGCTTGATTTCTTTCTGTTTTAAAAAAGTATGCAGTTACTAGATTTTTTCCTTTCCAACTACAGAAGCTGTTCTGTTGCAACAAGCCAAACAACACAAAGAGGTTCCCAAAAAAGGCCAACCACCATCTCTCCTTCCCTCCCTAAATCCCACCCCATCTGGTAGCCAGGGTTAACAACTCAGGGTGTGGCCTTTCCCGCTTTCCCCCAAATTCAAGAACAAGCCTGCACAAACATGTCCAGAAACATATATCATGTGTTTACCTTTTTTTAAAAAATGAATCTAAGATGCCACAATACCACTACTTGTTCATTCATATGTCACGGGCGCTCCCCCAAGTCAGTGCATATGCAGTCTTTTCAGCGGCTGCAGAATGGTCCATTGTAGGGATGCACCATAATCCATTCAACCAGTCGCTGTTGATGGACATGCAGATTGCTCCCAGTTGTTGACTACATCAAACAAAGTCAAGAAAGTATGCGGTAGCTTTAGCTGGAACCCACTCCTCTATGTTCATAGACCAGGAGTGCACCTAGTGTCCTGACTGCCATACATAGGACTCAGGGTGGGGGTGGGGGTTGTCAGGAAAATCTGTGACTTGATCAAAATGTGGTGGGTAGATTTGGGCTAGGGTTTTTTTTTTTTTAATTCAGTTTGCCAACATGTAGTCTAACACTCAGTGCTCATCACGTCATGTGCCCAGTTACCCCATCCCCTTGCCCACCTCCCCTTCTGCAATCCTTTGTTTGTTTCCCAGAGTTAGGGTCTCTCATGGTTTGTCTTCCTCTCTGATTTCCCTCCATTCAGTTTCCCCTCCTTCCCTTATGGTCCCTTTCATTATTTCTCATATTCCACATATGTGTGAAACCATATGATAATTGTCTCTCTGATTGATTTATTTCACTCAGCATAATAATCTCCAGTTCCAACCAGATCGATGTAAATGGTAGACATTCATCCTTTCTGATGGCTGAGTAATATTCCATTATATATATATGTACAATCACATCTTCTTTATCCATTCATCTGTTAAAGGACATCTTGGCTCCTTTGGGCTAGGGGATTATTGTAAATCAGCCTCCAAAGGGAAGGGAAGGATCTGTATGTGGCCTCTGTGTTCCATAGGCCATGGGATTGTTGCTTTGCTTGGGCACAAAGTGACTGTCTTGCCCTTCACTTTCCTCATCATTGGTGTGATCATCCTCTGCATAAGTTTACAGGTCTGTGAGCCCAGATCTGGGCCCAGAGAAGCATCCAGATGTTAGAATCTCCCCCTACCCTCAAAGCTCTTCTGAAGCATCTTCATAGCAGCTTCTTGAAGGCATTGGAGGCACCCCTGTCCTCCTCGCAGGCCTGAGGCTTTGCTTCTACCACTTACTGTGGGTTGATGTCCTCTCCTAGGGGGCCGAGGTGTCAGCGTGGGCCCCATCCTCAGCAGCAGCGCCTCAGACATCTTCTGTGACAACGAGAATGGGCCCAACTTCCTCTTCCACAACCAGGGTGATGGTACCTTCGTGGATGCTGCTGCCAGTGCTGGTGAGTGCGGCCGCTGCCCTGCCCCCTCCAGCATGGCCTCCCCCGGACCTTAGGGAGAATGGGACAAGTAATCATGAGCACCATACAGGGAAACATTGCTTGTCACCTTCAATTCCACATCCCCCAAGGCTCAAGCCACAGGGAATGTTTGCTGCTAGGGATAGGAGGAGCCTGGAACTCCTGGCCACTATCCATTTTTCAGCAACTAAAATTGGCCCATATTCCTCTGAGTCTTGCTTGCGTCCTCAGCATTAATTTTCCCTCCAAGATGCCTCTTTCCAGTTCCCCTCCCCACATGCACTGTAACCATGGTATTCAATCCAGTAACCATTTATTGAGCCCCTGCGAAGTGCCAGGTGGTGCTAAGAGTTGAGGATACTGACCCAAATAAGATTATATCACTCTGCCCCACCCCACACATGTATGCACACAGGCATGGACACTCTAGAGGGGAAAACAGATGAGTAAACAAACAGCTGGAGTAAGAAGACTAAAATCCACACAAAATAGTATGTCAGGCTCCCAGCCCTGCGCCCCTTCCTCCCTTTGTGCTCATCCCTCATCCGCCTCAGGGCCTTTGCACCTGCCATTCTCTCTACTGAAAATGCCTTTTCCCTTCTCTATCTGCAAAAATCCTATCTATCCTTCAACACTCAGTTCTTTGAAGCCTTTTCTGTCTCCCTCTGTGTTACCTGGCAGAGATTTGCACTCCCTCCTCTGCACTCACACTGCTCTTGCATGTACTTCTCGGCCAAGCTTCTACGTTGCTAAAATAATCTATGTCTACAAGGGCTGGGCACTGTACTGTTCATTCTTGACACAACACTTAGCACACAGTGGTCACCCAGTAAATTTTGCTGAAAGGCAAAAGGGACACTTTTTAAAGTTTGTGGATGTGATCAGCGTGGCCTTCAAGCACTTCTCCCTACCCACTTCCTCCCCACCCTGCCAGTGAAAGGATTGATTTCACCCCTTTCTGGACAGCTTAGGGATGAGCTCAAGCTTCCAGAGGAAGAGGTGAGAGGGGACTAGACACGTAGATCAAAAGTCCTACAAGCTGCAGGTAGTGCTGACAGCTAGCATCAAATCCCTGAGCAGATGCCAATCCATTCTCTGTGACTGACAAGTCCCTAATCCTGCAACTCTCTGCTCAGGAGTTCCCATTCTGAACCACCCCTCCACTGGTCAACTCCCCCTTGCCTTTCCCTCTTCTCCTTGTAGGCAAAGCTAGAGCTAGAGGCAGCAGCTCCCCTGGCCTGTCTTCCTACCTGGCATGCACACACACACACCCCATCATGCTATATACTCTGGCAGCAAATTTTCTCATTGCTGAAAAATCATAAAATGAAAGGGAGGTGGTGGTGGAAAAAACCTAGAGGATTTGATAAGGTGTTAAAGAGATGGGAGCAGAGGTGAGCGAACAAGTTGGAGTGGGAGAAGGTATCTGGCGGGAGGAGAGAGGAAAGGTGCTAGGCCCGTAATTGAAAGTCAGAATGATTGCAGGGGTTTAACAAGACATGTCAAGAGGGCATTCATCACCCAAACAGATGCTGCTGTGAAATGCAGCCTGGTACCGATTATTCCCGTGAAAGGGAACCAGCTCCTTGTCAAGGTGCCTCGTAGATAGGAGAGAAATGGGCCAACACAGAAGGCCACCGACATTAGGGCTGGGGAGTTTTGTAGAGAATTAATGGGGTATTAATCCTAGAGGTTCGAGGCTGCCCCCGCTCCTTGGCAAAGCCTCTTCCTCAAGCCTAGGGCTCATTGCATCTTCTCCCCACACCTCCCACCCATTGTCTAGATCCTCCCCTCCCCCAACAGGATCTCAGCCTCCAATGTTCACAGAGGGCCCCACCTCCACCTTCCCCTGGCTCCCATTCCCAGGAGCAATGTGGTCCCCTGGATTCTGTGATCCCCCCTCCATTATATTGTCCTATTGCCCACCATCTCCGAAGGCCTTATGACCAATAGCAGTTTGTCCTCCGAAACAGTCAGCATGGGTATTGAGAACCAGCAGCATCAACCACCTCTCAGCTCCATGCTTGGCTTGAGGGAACATATCTGCCTTGCGCAGCCAGGAGGTCAGGCCATCCCTCTGGGCAAAGCCACACCCTGTCCTCCCCCAGGAGCAGCTCAGTGGGCACTGGCAGATGCAGAGACAGTGAAAGCAGATGACGCTAGACACACAGGTTTCTCTTCCCCGAGCTCCCAAGGCATGCTGTGGGTTTCTGTGTTATGCTGTGGCATTTCCTCTGCTGTCACCAACGTCCCCAGGTGCCTTCTGTCAAATTATTTATGTATCTTCATTCATTCAGTATTTACTGAAAACTACCAGGCCACACAGATGCTGCTTGAACACAGGTAAATAAGAAGACAGCTCCTGACCTCATAGAATGTAAGGTATGGTGGGGAAACTGGACACTAACCAAATAAACTGGAAAGGAACATAATTGCATCTGTGATCAGCACAGTGGAAGGAAAGAATGAGAGGCTGTCAGGACAAATAACAAAGTCGTTGGGAGGAACTATTTTCATGGGAGTGGTCAGGGAAGGCTTCCCTGAGGAGGTTACATAGTAGCTTAGAGCAAAAGAAAAACAAGGAGCCAGGTAGCCAAGAGCCAAGGGAAGAGCATTCCAGGAGCAGAGACAAGCTTGAGCAAAGGCCTAGAAGCCAGAAAGAGCAGGGCTCATTTGAGGAATGACAGGAACACAGGTAGCCAGAGCTTATGAGGAAGGGGTACTAGGTAAGACTAGATAAGGTGGCTTTGTACTCGGGGCGCCTGGGTGGCTCAGCAGTTGACCAGCTACGTTCGGCTCAGGGCATGATCCCGAGGTCCTTGGATCGAGTCCCACATCGGGCTCCCTGCATGGAGCCTGCTTCTCCCTCTGCCTCTGTCTCTGCCTCTCTGTGTGTGTCTCTCATAAATAAATAGATACAATCTTTAAAAAAACAAAAATGATGGCCTAGTACTCCCCAGGCAGGAATTTGAATTTGACCCAATAGTACTGGGGAGCCATGGAGATATATATACTCTATATACACTATATACCCCACTGACAGTTTTGGGGTGGCTGGAGAGGCCTTTGTCCTCCAGAATTACCATGTCTCCTTCCCCTTCCTAAGCTACCCCAAAACAGAGTGAAAACTGTGTCCTTGCTGGGCAGATGCAGCTGAAGACAGGTGTGGTTCCCTTTGCGACCACATGGCTGTCCCACCTCCTGCCCCCATGGAGAAATTCTGAGCTGACAGCTGCAGCTTGAGACAAAGCTGCTCCAGGATGGCAGGGTCAGCTGGAGGGTCATCCTCCCTGTCACCTTCAAAGGAGCTCCAGCAAAGTGAGTGTTTGTAGAGCCTGCAGGGGGCACTGCCCTGAGGGAACCTGCCTTTCCTCCCCAGGTGTGGACGACCCCCACCAGCACGGGCGAGGTGTTGCCCTAGCCGACTTCAACCGTGACGGCAAAGTGGACATCGTCTATGGCAACTGGAATGGCCCCCACCGGCTCTATCTGCAGATGAGTGCCCATGGGAAGGTCCGCTTCCGGGTAAGAAGGGCCCTCTCCCTCCTTCTGCCACCCAGCTCTGTGACTGGCCCTGGCATATCCTGGGGATGCAGCCTGCCTCCCACCAGGGAGGGGCTGAGAAGGGGCTTGCAGCTCTGCAGAGCCTGGAGGCAGGACAGCCACAATGAAGGTAACATCTGGGGGAAGATGGTGGACTCCAGCCTGGGCTTCCATCTCTAGTGCTCAGGGCAGAAAGGGCCAGACAAATGAGGGACAGCAGCTTCCCATGGAGGGGGAAGAGCAAGGCAATGAAGGCTCTGGGAGGTAGACTTCATTCCTGGACTGACAGCATTTTTCCAGGGGGTTCCTGGAAAACCTGATCTTTTCAAGTTTAACTTTACGCTAAGGGTCTGTGAAGAGAGGACTGGGAGAGATTGAGGCTACAGAGCTCCCAACAGTTGCCCCCTATGGACAAATGGCAGGTGGTGGACAAGATGACCTCAAAACCCTTATGTGTCCTGTCCCTGAGCTGTCAATAGACTGCAAGGCAAGAATTCTTCAAAGGGGCTGTTTGGTGACAGGAATAGAGGTACCACCACCACCCCCGTGATGAGCTAGAGTTTGGAGCTTTTTCAGGGAGCTCTCATAGGATGGTTGATACTGATCTCAGGGAGTCTGAGTGGTTCTGGAGGTACCTAGGTCTTGCCAAAATCCCCTGCAGTAGTGAGAATTTGCCTGATGCCTGATGACCCAGTGGAGTCTCTGGGAACTTTCTGTCTGGGTCACCACCACCAGCTCTCTTCCTTCTGGGACGCCAGCCTGGGGATGCTCAGGCCCAGCTGCTCCCTCCCTGGAGACCCAGGCTCTCTGGTTGAAAAGGAGGCATGCCCTAAACTAAAGCAGTTGATTCTGGGATCCTGGATTATTTTCACCTTTATTCAGCTTTTTGTTATTTTAAGATTTATTTATTTTAGAGAGAGAGAGCACACACAGTGGGGAGGAGGGGCAGAGGGAGAGAATACTCAAGCAGACTCCCCACTGAGGTGGAACTGGACGTGGAGCTCAATGTGGGGCTCAACCCCACAACCCATAAGATCACAACCTAAGCCAAAGCCAAGAGTTGAACACTCAACTGACTGAGCCACCCAGGCACCCCCAGCTTTTTGTTCTAACCCAGGTTCTAACCAGGGGTGATTTTCTCTCCAGGACATTTGACAGTGTCTGGGGACATTCTCGATTGTCATGAATGGGATTAGGGTGCTGCTGACACCTAGTGGCTTCTAGTGGGTAGAGGCCAGAGATGTTGCTGAAAGTCCTATAATGCACAGGACAGACCCCTAGCAAAGAATGATCCAGGCCCAAACATCGGTGTGCTGTGGTTGAGGAACACTGCCAAGCCTTCTGGTGGCCCCTCCCCAGAGCTCACAGGAGCAATAATAATGATAACAGACTCCCCATTTATCAGGTGCCTTCCATGTGCCAGGAACTGTGCTAAGCGCTTTACATACATTATCTTAGAAGCCCGGGTGTCCAGTGGGGCAACCCCAAGGGGGCTATGTAGGTTTCCATTTTTATAGGATCAATAGAATAATAATGAGCTAGAGATCCTGAGGTCTTTCTCTCCAGCTCTTAAGGCCCTGCTCAGCCTATACTGGCCAACTGGCCATCCTCTTAATCAGCCTCATTACTGCCCTGATGGGGATAACCTCCCTCCTGGCCTCCCCAGAACAGGCAGCTTGCCAGCTGTCCCAGGCAGGCTCATTCCTGCAGCTGATGGAGGGGGTGCCTGCAGTAAGAGGCCAAGGAGCTGGGCCAGGCCAGGGGGCGGAGGGGCCCTCCCAGAAACACTGACTGTCCCTTCCCAGCCCTTTCCATATGGGCCCTGAGATTTAGACAGGCTGTCAGAATCTTTAAGAGATAAAGCCATCCATAATATATATTCTTATAAACAAAAGGCTGCTCTCCACACCTCTTCTTCTATTTCAAGGGAGGTCCCCACAGCTGAGACTCTTTGCCAGGTCCCCCTTTGAGGTCCAAGTTGGGTTCTCCTGGGCCTAGGGTCTCCCCGTGAACCATGGACAGGTGTATCTGATACTGCAAACCCCCAAAGCAAGGGTCAAAAAAATCAAAATACTTCCAAGAAGAAACATAACAGCAAAAACACAGCTAAAAACCACCTCTGCTGCCTTCCACAAGACTGAGAGTGTGAGCAGGGCCAGGGCAGATTGCCAGGGATCTATTTCATGCCCACTGCCTGCCAAGCATTTTACATGCAGTCCTCACAGCCTGGGCCACTATTCCTAGCCCCAGGTTACTGATGAAGAAAGTGAGACCAGAGAGGCTAATAACTTGCCTAAGATCACACAGCTAAGTCAGCAGAGAAGCCTGGATTCAAATACACAGCCCTTTCCAGTGCCCCCCACACAGACCTGCTTCTGACTCTCTGAAAAGGGGGAAGGACATAGCATCTTGAGTCTGAAGCCCTGGCTACTGCCCCATCATTAGCTATAACCATGGGTGACTCCCCTCCTTCCCCCAGGACATGATCACCTCACTTGTAAAATGGGAATGCTAATGTCTGCCCTGCCTCAAGTGCCTGATGGGAGGGCTACATATGACCCTGACCAGTAAAGCACCTGGCTGTTGCCTGGTGTGAATTGGGACCATCCCTCTCACCTCTTTGTCCTCCTACAAGCAGCCCGAGGTCTGTGTGGTCCTGAGTGCAGCCACAGCAGGTCCCTTCCAGGGGAGGTGAGAGAGGAGGTGTTAGGTCGACCATCTCTTCTCTTGGATTGCATACACACACACAGTGTGGGGAGTCGACCTCCCTCACCCCACACACACACCTCTGTCTGCTGACCTGCACCCTCTCCCCCTGCACCCCAGGACATCGCCTCGCCCAAGTTCTCCATGCCATCCCCTGTCCGCACAGTCATTGCCGCCGACTTTGACAATGACCAGGAGCTGGAGATCTTCTTCAACAACTTTGCCCACCGCAGCTCCTCAGCCAACCGCCTCTTCCGGTAGGTGCTTCAGCCTGGCCAGTAGCCTCCCACCCTCGCCAGCTGGGAGCTGGGGAGGAAGGTGTAGAACTCAGAGGAGAGCTCCCAGGGCTGAGATGCAGGAAGGTCCCCTGATGAAGGAACAGAAAGGAGGGAAGGAGGGATTGAATGAGAGGCTGTGAAATGGAGGGCAGATCCTGGGCAGGAAGCCGGCCTCCCGCTGTTGGGGGGGAAATGGGCAGAGGGACATGGCCCAAAGTGTGCCCAGAAGCCACACTCTATAGGAGATAAATCCACACTACCATAAAAAGGAGTTACAGAGTCAAATTTGTTTCGGTGCCCATAGAGTAAGCAAAGACAGGCAGGTTTACTGTCTGCAGGACTTCTCAGAGCCTTTAACATGACCATGAGTGTTTTTACTTTCTGAAAGGTGGCTGGAGTATTCTAAATAGGTTTGACCACAGGACACCTCTTTCAAAGATTTTCCTCTTGGGACTGGTGCTCTGCAAAACATCCCTTGGGAAATGCTGGATGCGATGATTAATGGTAGATAAGGAAAAGAGTGACAGAATGGAAGGGATCTGCAAGCATCTGCATCTGGGGAGGAAAGGTTGGATGTTGGAAGGCAATACTTCTCTAAGAGGGGCCCGGGGACCACTGGCATCAGAATCACCCGAAGTGCTTAAAGTACAGAATCCCAGGGCCCACCCAGATCTCCTAAATCAGAATCTCCAGGAGTGAGGCCCAGGATTCTCTATTTGCATCAGGTGATTCTTATCACACGAAAGTTTGAGAACTGCCGTTGGAGAACCTCAGGACCCATGTGGCCTGAGACAGCCCTGTTCCTGGCCTAAAACATGCTACTGGGGCTCAGGAGCGGGTGGGGAGAGGAGGCAGGTGGGGTACGGGCCTTGGCTTCAGGAAATAGGCTCCATCACCTGTTCGGCTCCCCAAGGCCCCCACCCTGAACCCCAGGGGGGCCCCAACTATTAATAAAAGGCAAGAGCTGTGACTAAGCATGTTTTAAAATATAATTATTAACAAAGCATCAATCCTGACTGGATGTAATCACCCCCCGAAGGCACTAGATTTACTAATTAGGTGCCTTGCAAAAAGCTTATTCACAACTTCCAGATTAATTGCGGAAGATCAATTGCTCGTTAACAGAGACACTGCTTTCCTTCTCTGGCTAATAAAGTGTCACTCGCCAGGGCCCCTGAGCATGAGGGAGTCTAGTGCTCTCATAACTGTGGCCCGAGAACCCAGGCACCACCCGTGTCCGCCTGCCCATGGGGCTCTATCACATGGCCCAGACCCCCTCTGGCCACCCCAAGGAAGGGCCGACCCAGGGCTGCCATGGACCAGGACAGGGTCACCACAGAGTGGCCCCACGGGTTAGCATGTTTACCTCCAGGCAGCAGCAGTGGACGCCACTACTGAGGTACATGGCCGTGCTCCAGGTCCCGGTGGCAGATGGCTGGGTCCTGAGCACACAGCCGAGAGTGAGGGGCTACAGCTGGAGCCACCACTCAGCTGGCAACTCTAGAAGTTCGGCCCCAACTTGTCTCTGTCACTGAATGGAACACGGCAGGCTTCTTGTAGGAGATACTGGGGACTCAAAGCCGCAGTGTGCTTGAGCCTGCAGTCTTTCAATGAAGAGTAGGGTAACCAGGGGACTCATCACCCAAACCAGATGCTTAGTGAGAGTGAGGGGTCCTGTAAATGATGGCGGGACAGCCGGCATACAGGGTCGCTCCCAGGCCAGCCAGGATACGCAGGGTCACACCACTGACACATTGACACATGCCTCTGATCTGTTCTCGCCTCTTACCCCCTCTGCCGCTATCTGTCGACTCTGAAGGGGCTTCCTGCACCTGCCTTCCGTAGGTGTCACCCACCCCTGCCCCCCTGTAGTCCTGCAGCCAGCTGTTGAAAATGGAAATCAGGCTGTAGCCCTCTTCCTCTTGAAACCTTTTGGAAGCTCCCCACTGCCCTCTCTCGGACGCATCCTGGCTGTGTCCTAGCCTCCAGACACTTTCCACTTCCCCATTTGTGGCTGAGCTCTAGACGCCACCAGCTTTGCTCAGCTCTGGACCGTACCAGGTTGGACCCTCAGAATGCCCGCCCCCTCTGCCTCTTCCTCCCTCTTGGTCCGAGTGACCATACTCACTCATCCTTCTGGTCTCAGCTTAGTTGAGCCTTCCTCCAGGAAGCCTGGGCGAGCTTGCCCAGCTCTGCCCTCTCCAGCCCCTCTCCCTGTGGTCCTTCAGCACTCTGCAGGAGATTCTCTGTCATCAGGGACCCTAAACTCCATCCTCCCTGATGCACATCGTGGCCGCAGGGCCCCGCGCAGTGGACGGCACACAGAGGTCACTGCAGGTGAATTTGTTCAGCCAATACATAGACGCAGGGCAACTTTATCCTTAGGAATCCTTAACTGCATTGTCACCTGAGCCCAGGGATGTCTTTGCCCAACTGTGGAAGAATCTGTGGGACACAGGTGGTCGAAGGGACTGTGGTTGTTGGCAGGCTGAGGTATACAGACCTCTAGCAGGGATGCACATGCCCCAGGGCAACAGGCACGCTGTCCTCTGCCCGACTACACCCATGGATATGCAGCACAGATGCCTCAGGCGGACAGAGGGACAGAGGGCTCTCCCAGGGCCAGGGCCGCTGCTTAGCTCTGCAGACACCCTGCAGTTCAGCCTGCACTCTACCCTCCCGGCACCACAGGCTCCAGCTCAGGGGACCCCTGCCAGCTCCTGAAATCACTGGCCACATCTCAGCTCTCTGGTGACTCTCTGTGACCTCAGCAGACAAAAGCCACCTGCAGTGTTGATGGGAGAGCGATCAGATCCCTCCCCACCCTCCGTCTCCCCCAGCATATCTCCACACAGCCAGGCCGTGAGAATCTAATGAGTGAGAAAAATCGGAGGAAAGCTCACCACCATCATCAGCATTCAGCTCAGCGTGGAGAAAGAGCAGGACATTTGCAGTGGGCTTTTTCTGAAGCAAATATTACCTTGGTTCAGAGTTTAAAATAGACAGAGCCCCTGCAGCCCAAAGGGACCCCTTTCTTCCCTTTTTGCTGCTGAACTTCATCCACGCATCCCACGGGCATGTGCTTGGAGCTTCCTGCGAGCCGCGCACTGTGTTAGGTGCCGTGGGAAATGCAAGAATGAGTAACACGTGAGTAACACGTGGTCCCGGCCTGCCACAAACGAGCTCACAGTCTAACTGGGGAGATAAGATGCATTCGTCCGAGCTTTAACGCAAGGCAGAAAGTGATAAAGGCTGAGCAGGAAGGCACTGCTTCCAGCACGATGATCAGGGAGGACTCGGAGGAGGTGGCCTTTGAGTGGTTTGAATCCCGGGCACATCCAGAACTCAGAAACCCAGGGCCACTTGAAGGAAAGCGAAGGTCATTTGAAGGTAGCTGCGTCCCTGCCTCTTCTCCATCCATCAACTGCCCTTCCCCCGGCTGTCTATAATTCATCCATTAGAGAAAGAAAAATCAATATTTACCAACGTAAATTAAAACCCAAGAAGGGAACAGGCAGGGTGTAGGCAGGCTCTGGAAGCAGAGAGTGGCTCCGTAGGCGCCCGGGTGGTGGCCGATGCAGTGGGGCCTGGGGATGCTCAGGCCACAGAGACTGGAACGAGTGGTTCTCTGCATCCAGGGGGCCCATAGGGGCCTCGCCAGCATGTCACTCATCCGACAACGACTGTCTCCTCTCCTGCAGTGTCATCCGCAGAGAACATGGAGACCCCCTCATCGAGGAGCTCAACCCTGGTGATGCCTTGGAGCCTGAGGGCCGGGGCACAGGTGAGGACACCTGAAGGCTCAGGCCTGCACTCCTCTGGCTCAGCTCTGTCCATGCATAGGATGAGGGCAAGAGGGATGGGGCAGCCAGTCCCACAGCGCGGGACCCCTCCTTCCCCGCCATTCTGAAGACTGACACCCTAAGGCAGGGGTGAGAATCTGGGAGTGCCAGGCTGGAAGTAAAGGAGGCAATGGTCCCTTCTTCCAGGTTCAGGGCTGGGGGCGGGACTCTGGAAATCCGTGGGCAGTAGCTTCTCTGGTGCCAGGTGGGGATTGAAAAGAGAGGCTGGGGGGTGTTCTGCACTCTGACCCTTCCCCTCTTGGCATTCAGCCTGGTGTCCAAGAAAGAGCCCTGGATCAGGAGTCCCAAGCCCCCATCCTGCCATTGCCTCATTTGTGATCTTGGAAGGGTTGCTTCAGCTTCTGAGTCTTGTTCTACACACCCACAGAAGGGATCATTACATTTGCCCTCCTCACCTCTCTGTGTTGTAGTGAGGACCGAAAGGAGACCATGAATGTGCAAACATGACATATTGACAAAACTGCAAATACAAACGGCATGTGTAATATATCAGAAAGGAGTCCTCATGGTCTGAATGATTTACACCCACTCTGTCCATGCAAAAGTCCAGGGAAAGGAAAGGGAGCCCCCCTTCCTGACTTCCTGCCATGAACCAGCTCTGGGAAAGCAGAGGAGATGGGCTTCCCCCTTGTCTTCCTGCCCCAGCACTGTGCTCTCTGCCTCCCACCCCAGGGCACAGGTGCCAGGACATGGCCCTGGTTGGGAGCCCCTCTTCCTCTTGGGTCTCCTGGCTGATGGCCAGAGTGAAATCCGCGTTGTTGCAGGGGGTGTGGTGACAGACTTCGATGGAGACGGGATGCTGGACCTCATCTTGTCCCACGGGGAGTCCATGGCTCAGCCGCTGTCCGTCTTCCGGGGGAACCAGGTGTGCACAGACACCCCAGCCCCATGTGCTCCCCTGGATCTAAAATGGATGGAGGGCGGAGGTACCTGGGATGCTTGCTTGTCCAGCATGGTGGGAAATAGAAACCCAGGAAATAAATCACAGTCACACAGTAAACCTCCAGGAAGGGCTGCTCCTGGGAGAAGCCCTTTGCCCCTCTGCCTTCCACTGGCACTTCTGCTCCAAAAACTGTTTTTCCTTTGTCTTTTGTTGACTTTTCCTTCATGTTTCCGGTGCCTCTCTTCCCAAATGTCAGCCAGTCTGTCTGCCCTGTTCACCTTCCTCCTCTCTTCCCTCTGCCCCTCTCTACCTCTCTCCCTGCTCCCCCTGCCCACCCCCCCATAGTCACCTGCCTTCCCCCATCCCTGCTCCCCCTGCCCATCCCCCATATTCACCTGCCTTCTTCCCTCCCTGCAGGGCTTCAGCAATAACTGGCTGCGCGTGGTGCCTCGGACCCAGTTTGGGGCCTTCGCCAGGGGAGCTAAAGTCGTGCTCTACACCAAGAGGAGTGGGGCCCACCTGAGGATCATTGACGGGGGTTCGGGCTACCTGTGTGAGATGGAGCCTGTGGCACACTTTGGCTTAGGTGAGTCAGGGCTGAGGGCGGGGCAGGCAATGAGCTGTTGTGCCCAGACAGTGGGTTCCTGTAAACGCAACCAGAAGCCTGCTCACTAACAGAGGACTGCCAGGTGCATGGTACTTCCAGATCCCGTGACAGCCTTGGCAGACACAGCCATACAGGCAACCCCACTCTGAAATGAGCCTGAGCTCCAAAGGGTGGTTTCCTTGCCTGTGCCTCACAGGGGCCCCCAACTGTGGTCCTCTGTTGAATTCATTCACCTTGGGGTCCGGGTATTTAATCCTCATGTCCAAAACTGAGGCCTTGTTCAAACACTGGCCTGAACCAGATTTGTCCAAATCAACTGTTTTCCTGGCCTCTTGGAGCCAGCTTGGTGATTAAAGCCTCAGCAAACCGCTGGTGCCTTCCCTTAGCTAGAAGGCTTAGAGAAGCCTCGCATTCTGCGAGGGAGGGTGATCACCTGCAAGGGGGTGAAAATTGGTTCCTGTCTAGGAGAGGGGAAGCAAGAAAACCCTACTCTGTTTATGTGTATAAAGGGACAGATATACAGACCGCCCATAAACAGCTATCCGGTATATCTGTGGTATGCATGAACTATCACTACACACCTATCAGAACAGCTTAAAAAAAATAGTGATAACAACACATGCCAGCGAGGATGCGGAGAAATTCACTCTCCCATGCGTTGACAGTGGGAATGTGACATGGTACAGCAACTCTGCAAAATAGTTTGGTGGTTTCTTTAAAAAGAAAAAAAGCCAAACACACAGCTACTATAAGACCCAGCAGGGATCCCTGGGTGGCGCAGCGGTTTGGTGCCTGCCTTTGGCCCAGGGCGCGATCCTGGAGACCCGGGATCGAATCCCACATCGGGCTCCCGGTGCATGGAGCCTGCTTCTCCCTCTGCCTATGTCTCTGCCTCTCTCTCTCTCTGTGACTATCATAAATAAATAAAAATTAAAAAAAAAAAGACCCAACAATTGCACTCCAAGGTATTTGTCCCAGATGAATGAAAACGTAGTTTTAATTAAAATGAAACTTATGTTTTCATAAAATCTATACAAGATCACTCATGATAGCTTTACCAGCAGTTACCCAGACTGGAAACACCCGGGATGTAATAGGTTACTGGTTCAACAAACCATTGTCCTCCACCCCATGGAATATTACTCAGCAATAAAAAGGAGTGAACTGTTGATACACATAGCAACTTGAATAGCTCTCAAGGGCATTATGGGGAATCGGGGGGAGGCCAATCTCATAAAGTCACATACCGTTGATTCCATTTATGTAATATTCTTAAAATGATAAAATTACAGAGACAGAAAATAGAGATGTGGTTGCCAGGGATGGATATGACCATAAGTCCTCAGAGAGGACTCTGGGGTCATGAAGCAGTCCTGTTTCTGGATTGTGATGGTTGCACAAATCCACCTGTGTGATAAAATGACATAAAACTATACACACGCGCACATGCATGTATGCGCACATACACGTAGGCACGGTACCAATGTCAATTTCCTGGTTCCGGTATCATGCTAAAGTGGCGTCAGCTCTAACCATTGAGGGAAACTGGATGAAAGGTACACAGAGCCTTTCTGTATGATCTTTGCAACTTCCTGTGAATCTAGGATTATTTCAACATCAAACTTTTTTTGTTTTGTTTTGTTTTTTAAAGATTACTTATTTATTGATTCATGAGAGACACAAAGAGAGAAGCAGAGACATAGGCAGAGGGAGAAGCAGACTCCCTGCGGGAAGCCTGATACAGGACTCGATCCCAGAACCCCAGGATCATGACCCAAGCCGAAGACAGGCAGTCAATCACTGAGCCACCCAGCTGCCCCAACATCAAACATTTTTAAAGAAACGCATTGGGGAGGAAATTAGGAAGGAGAAATGTCTGAAAAGCCTTCTTGAGAGGAGGGGCAATCCTGGAAAAAATGTGGAGGAGCCAAGAGAGGCTTTACTAAAACACAGTGGTTAAAAAAGCATTTGAGTCAAAAAAAAAAAAAAAAAAAGGCATTTGAGTCAAATATACCCAGGCTCAAAATCAGACACCCTCCCCCATGTGTTAGCACCTCATGGGGTGATATATTAACATCGAAAGAATAGGCAATATGCTCTGAAGTTAATATATATGTATGTGTTAATATTATACACACATCATATGGGCAAAGAAAAAAACTGAAAGAAAATGCAGGAAGTATGAACAGCGATTCTAGGGGCAGGATTAACATAGTAACTCCCACTCATTCAGGTGGCACTTTGCTTCATTTCATGCTCATGACCCACCACCCCCCAACCCCCCTGTGAAATGGGCATTACTTATCCCCATTTTACAAATGGGAAAACTGAAGATCACAGCAGTTAAGAAACCCACCAAGGTCACATGATATAGATCAGTGGCAGAGCTGACATTCAAATCCGGACCTATGTGATTTTTATTTTCTTCCATATGTTCTGTGTGTGTTCCAATTTTCATAGGAACACATAATATTTATGCAGTCTAAAAAAGAAGCATAAATGTTTAGGGGACCCAGAGCCTGGTTATATAAGCATGTTCTCGAGCTGTTTCACCCTGGATGGGTCAGCTGGCAGTTGAAGCATTTGTCACTTTTACGGTAGCCATTTGCCATGCTGGCCAAGTACAAGATGACCTTTGTTTGTTTTGGTTTTGTTTTAAGATTTTATTGGGCAGCCCCAGTGGCCCAGCGGTTTAGCACCACCTTCAGCTGGGGCGTGATCCTGGAGTCCTGGGATAGAGTCTCACGTCGGGCTCCCTGCATGGAGCCTGCTTCTCCCTCTGCCTGTGTCTCTGCCTGTCTCTGTGTGTCTGTCATGAATAAATCAAATCTTAAAAAAAAAAATTATTCGTGAGAAACAGAGAGAGAGAGGCAGAGACATAGGCAGAGTGAGAAGCAGGCTCCCTGCAGGGAGCCCAATGTGGGACTCGATCTTGGGACCCTGGGATCATGCCCTGAGCTGAAGGCAGATGCTCAACTGCTGAGCCACCTAGGCATCCCACGAGATGACCTTTTTTTTTATTCATGAGAGAGAGAGAGACAGAGAGAGAGAGGCAGAGGGAGAAGCAGGCTCTACACAGGGAGCCCAATGTGGGACTTGATCCCAGGACTCCAGTATCACACCCTGGGCCAAAGGCAGGTGCTAAATCGCTGAGCCACCCGGGAATCCCCAATGACTTTCGAATATATAGTCCTTCCTCACAAAATAGCAGTAGCCGACAGTCATCAAGTGCTTAGTGTGTGCCAGGCACTGGGCTCAACCTCTGCAAAAGATACACATTCAGTTCTTACCACAACATGATAAATCATAACCCCATTACACAGGTCAAAAAACTGAGGCTCCTGCTAAGTAATCTGCCCCAAATCCTACCTCCAGAAAGTAGAGGGGTTGGATTTAGACCCCACTCCTTGGACACCACTGAGTTCTTGACCACTGTGACTTGACAGCTTGACCTCCCATAACTCTGTGAAGAGCCCCCCAAGGCCCTCCTGCTCTGACTCTTTCTTCCTGGACATCCACGTCTCCTCAGTTACCACGTGATCCATGCGAGGCTATATGATCACCAGAGTAACTGCCATGGTATCATAGGTGAGATGTTTTTCCAGGTATCTGGCTGGATATCAACTCCCACCCTGTTGTATAGATAAGGGAATTGAGGTTCCACATAGTAATGTAAGGACGGGACTGGAGCTGAGGTTCTCCTTCCTCACATCCCGTGGGCTGCCTGTGCTCTTTTAAGACATGCTCATGGGCTTCATTGGGTCTCCTCTCTGGCCAGAATCTGCCCCTGCCAAGAGAACAGACCTACTTTTTCAACTGGGCAAGCCTTGGCCAGGTCATTTGGTGGGATCGCAGGGAGCCAAGAGCCTCCACGCCTCTCCGCAACTGTCTGCCTCCCATACTCAGGTTTATAGATGCTGCACCTAGTTGGGAGCCGCTCCTGACTGCCAATCCTTGATATTTTGCGATGCCAGGGGATTTGTTCTGGCTCTGAACTCTGGCTCAAGCTGCTCCACGGGTCCCCCTATAGGCTCCTCTCCATTGCCAGGATCCACTCCCAGAGAGCCACTGAAGGAAAGCTGCTCTTGGGGACTGGTCCCTGTGGGTCAGCCCTAGGCCTGGCAGGGAGACTCCTCAAGGCAGCTGAGCGGGCAGCAGGGCCAGAGGCAGGGGCACAGCCAGGAGCAGGTGGGCTCCATCCCTACAGTACCGAGGCCCCGATCCAGGTCTCCTTCATGGATCCAGCATAGCGCAAGCCTTCCTGATTGATGGAGGGGCCAGCGGTGGGGTAGGAAGAAGGGGAGCCAAGAGAGAAGGCCACTTGAAAGGAAGGGTTGAGGAAACAGAGAGGATGAGCGAACACAGGCAGACAGGGAGCTTGGGAAACCAAGAGATGCAGAGAGATGGGAAAGAGACAGATGAGACAAAGAAGAAATACTTCCTGCCCTCCAGGCTCACAGTCCAGTGAAAGAGGCAGCTGGACACAGGGATTCCGGTGCAAGACAGATCTGGATGCACCACCACTCTGGCCGGACCAGCATGGGAGGAATTAGTTCTGCTTTCCCAAGGACATGCGCCTAGTGTCAGGTCTAGCCAGATGGTAGGAATTTAGAAGGCATGGAGGGTAGCAGAAGAGAGCATTCCAGGGGCTAACCTGGCTTGAACAAAGGCCCAAAGGTGGAGTGTTCAGTGTGCCCACACAACTGCAATGATCCACTAGAAGCAGAGCCTGAAGAGGGAGGCCAAAGCCAAACTGTGGGGGGAGCCAAGAGCCAGGCTGGAGGGGGACAGCAGATCGGAGGGGGGTCAAAGCCAGGTGATGCTATGTGAGAGCAGGACTGCCAGGAGCCTGGGAGCTGTTAGCGGGGGTGGTGGCCTCCACCTGGAGCCCTGCAGGAAGAGCAGTGCTTGCAAACATCCTTAGAAGGATTTAATTTTTTTTCCTGATTGTAAGAATAATGCATATCGATACAGGAAAA